GACCTGTCTGCACTAGCTAGCCTTTTCCCCCACTTGAACTCTGGGACGGAGGGGGCGATGACGCTTGCGGAGCCCCCTGAGATGTTGAGAGGGACGTGGGAGGTAGGCCGCACCGTAAGTGCTGGTCGACACTCACTCACTCACTCACTCACTCACTCACTCACTAAGTTACCATTGCTCTTGAAGTTTAGCAAACCTCCCTGGAGGCCTCCACAGCGTGATTTTCTGCTCCATTCTTGCTGGCTGGCGTTTTTTCGGTTGTTGAAGCAAGATTTCCCTCAACCTAAAGGGGCAGGATCTAATTACCTCATAACTATCATAATCGTGATCATAATGCATGGGCGTGCGTGCTTGCTCACTTAGAACCTTTTGTGATAGGGCCGAGGCTGCGAAGAAACTTGGACTCAAGTGGTGGCTGGGCCAGTTTGCTCCACAGTGCAGGACCACGGCGACAGGGTCTAGGTGCGTAGCACCCGCTGAATCATTGGCTCGATGAGAGCGTCTGCATGAACAAAAGACATGCCCTCGCGCGGGGCTTCTCCGCGGACGGATCCATCTTCTCAGATTGGTGATCGGGCTGGTTGCTGTTTTGATGGATTGTTTGCGAGTTTTTCCGATCGGCGATTCCTGATGTGATTTCGATCGATGGTCTGTGGCCGATTCTATGTTCGGGTTGCAGGATACAGGAGGCATGCGACTGAATGACTTTTCAGCGAACTTTGTGAGCTGTCTAGATCGGTTGGGGCTGTATGACATCTGATACAGCAGTTTGTAGACCATGTCAAAATGAAAGGGCACAGTATCATAGTCGTAATGAGTAGTTTCTTGGTGAAAAGCGTGCGTGTCCGCACAGTTCGCGTGGACGCTCTAAGATTGTAGTTCGAACTTCCACCGACTTCGTGTGGCCTTCTTTCGCCTGATGTGGTTCTGTCATGAATGTTGAGTTTACAGGCACTGTTCAGCTTTGTATGGATGTACTATGTACTGTAATAGGTCATTTGCTTGACAATCCGTGTATAGATCCCAAATTTGAGTGTCGCAAACCGTGCACTTTGGGCGCAGCTCGTATGCTTCACGTTTACCGAAAAGCCAGCACTAGTGCCGGGTCAGTCTCCTGGCTTTCGATATCGAAACAGCACTTTCTGGGTTTTACTCACAACTGCGATTGTAGCGTATTTTTAGTAATATCGAACATATATAGCATCTGTCATGTAAATCGCTGTGCTGGCTTCCGATGGTCCTAGCAGTGCTCAGTAATTCTGCTTCCGCCATCAGTATTGCTATAATGCTATAATGATCATCGGAGGCCACTGCACTTCTGCATGATGCAATGATTCGCAAATTTTCTTACGAGGAGCAGCAAGCAGGAACAGCTGCGTGGGTTGACAAGACAAGGTGTTTGCTAGCACGCACACGGTTGGGCTTTCGTGGAGTATGGCTAAGAAAGCGGTCATCATTGACTGTTTGACATCCTGTTGGGCAGCCTGTGCTTCTTTCGACAGCATTGGCAGGCATCCACCGAGGGCAAAGATTTCGAGCTGAACTTTCGCGAGGCCTCTGGAAGTCCCGAGTCGTCAGCATTCGCTGTTAGTTTTGTAGCTTTTTGAAGCGATGCACCTGTGCATGTTGTGAAGAGCTTCCATTGTCGCAGCTTCTGGATGTCAATGTAAACTCACCGGCCACGAAGGCGCTACGACTGCCGTTCGTTCGTCCTGCGGCGCTCAACAAGGCAACGGCTGAAACGAAACCTGTGGCACCGACAAGACTCGTGCTGCAGCGCTTCAGGACACTCTGCGTGATCAAATGAAGGATGTCGGCCGTCAGTTGCCGCAGCCGCTTGAACTGCAGAAGCGATCTGCTGCGCAAACTCTCGAAGCCAGGCATGGCACCTGCACCGAGGCTGGCCGAAGAGATGAACAGGCAAGACTCGAGGCAGAGCCGAGCATACAGACGTAGCCTTGAACAGTTTATCCATGGTAGGACTGCTGAGAGCTGAGATCATGGTTGACACGAGTGTTGGTGAGTTGTGATCGCCGCAGCACGCGCTGATCGCTGCTAAGAAATGCTCGTCAGAACTTGGCAGCTTGCTGACCTTGCAGGCTGACAAATGACACCCGTGCGGCCAGCCCGGCGGCGGCTCCATCTCCGACAGATTCCAGAGGCCCTGGTTTCCAGTTCTGCCGTGTGCGTCTGTGTAAATTCGCCAAAGGCACCCCGTTGCTGCAGACGACCAGACCCATCAACCTGGAGGTGTCGATGCAGGATTCGGCATGAAGGGGCAGTGGCGGAGTGCTGCCTTTTGCCCTGCAGGAGCTACTGCACTGTCTGCCTCCTCACGCTAACGGAGCCGTCTCCGAGATGGAGCCGCAACTTGGAGTGAACGGCTTCCGTCCTCTGCCTCTGCGAAGTTAAGCAGAGCTTCAAACTGCCTCCCTCTTGCCAAGGCATCTAAAGCTACTTTGCTTAGTGGCATCCGCCTGGCAGCCTTTTGCATCGTGGCCGCACGTCCTTCAGAATACGTGGTGGCATGTCGCATCGATCTTGGTGCACCTGCTCCAGTGAAAGGAACACATGTCCTGTCCTGGAATTGTCGATGGCGCCGAGATGGTGCAATTGACTCTCATCACAACCAAGGATCTGTACAGCCGGGTTACTACGGACCCTTGGCTGCTTTAACGTGTTTTCTTTCGTCCCCATGCCGGCTGAACCCCTAGTTGGTCAGGTCCTTGGTTCTTCCTGCCTGTTCAGTGGCTTAGCATATTTCTCCTTGCGCCTCGGCTGCAGGATGATTGGTAGACCAGGACCAAGAGAAGATACCTTCTTTGGAGGTACTACAACAAGTTTGACGCCGACGGAAGCAGCAGCATGCCCACGGAGGCTGGGGGAGACCCACCTTCGCACAGTTCCCGCATGCGCTGCCGGAGCGAGGCTTGGTGCAGCTTTCTGTTTATGTCGACATTGGCTTGGTGGAACCTCACCATCGAGATTTCAGGCCCAGTGCCCACATGGGCGATGGGGTCGTGCTAGGGTCGTGACGGTGGTGAGTCGTGAGGTAGCAAGCTCGACCTTTTCGTTGCTGCGCTGCTAATTCTCGTTGGTCCGACGCTGTGGCCTCGGCCTGAGCACCCTCTGGGCCCCGCCGCGCTGGAACATTTGCGGTTTCTGAATAATCGGTGAGCTCAGGGTGGCCTCGAACAAGCCGACACTACACGCCAGTGTGATGCAGCACTTCGGCTACCCAGTGTTGGTGACCATCCAGGCCCTTGCGGGTCGCACCTCCAAGACATTCCAAGACGTTGGTTGGAAGCATGAGAGGCCTCCTGGATTTGCTTCTTGGGCATCCGGGCCTTCACGTGCGGTGGGGTGACTTGACAAAAGAGAGAGCATCACAAGTGCGCATCCCCTTGTTCGCTGCGTTGACTTCAGGAGTGGCCTCACTTTTTCACGAGCACCCGCTACCTGAACGTTGTCCACAAGCAACGGGGTCCCATCGAAATCCCCGTGGACATCGCACGGAAGGCTCCTTTCTGCTCCAGAGCACAGCTGCCGGAAACACTGCTGGCTCAAGGTGCATGAAGACGAGGATACTTCCACCGAGTCATCTGTGAATTTCAAGGACCCGCCAGTCGTCCCGGCCTGCGCCGAATCTGCGCAGCTCCCAAACTTTCAGGATTCGCAGCATGCCATGGCCTTGGCGCAGCCCCTGATCGATGTCTTAAGCCTCCTGGCTTAAAAGCAGAAGCGGTTGTTGCGGTGCGTAGAGATGCTTTCTGAGAAGCATCGCTGCAGGTTGCATCGGCGATTTGCCTCAGTCCACCTCTTCCCGTGCGGCTGTGTTCCAGGCCATGGAGATGTCAGCACCGCCGTGATCAGATCAATCAGATCACAATGTTTCGTATAGGCTAGAGACTGGCTGAGAGAGGCCGCACGTCTGGGCCTCAGAGTACAACGTCGCTTGTGGAAATCTGAAAACCCGACCGAATTCGAGGTGCTGCTGGTGTGTTGCGCACATCTCTGATGGTCAAGGGCTTTTGGATCTACCTGCCAATGACGGGGCTGGACAACGAGGAACTCTTGAAGTGAAGTGGCCTCTGATGTGTGCAGACTGTTGAGCTGATCTTGTGCAGGGTGCTGTGCCTCACTGGGTGGATATTCACAGCATTGACTACTCGAGTCTTGGCAGTTTGGTTAAATCTCCATCCATGCGCTGAGGGATTCATCGATGCTAAGGGAGAACTGCAAGGACCAGGATGAGTCTCAGTTGCACACGAGATTCCAACCAAGCCTGACTACTCAAGCTGCCTTACGTTTTCATTTGTGGTGTACTTGCATGTCTGTGTCTGTGTGTGTGTGTATGCATGCGTGAGTTTGGACGGTTGTGACATATCTTTACATGAGCATAAAATTGGCCTGCCTGTCCAGGCGACGGAAGCATTTATGCTGCCGGAGCTGCTCCAAGCTGCAGACCTGGCTGCGGAGACCCTGCACGCACACGCCGTGCGCTGGACCGCCGAGAGCTGAGACCTGCTCAGGTGAACCGGTCATGTGTGAAACCCATAGCATCCCATAGCGATGAAGTAGCACCGAAAGTGGCAACGACCGGAAAGGCACAGAACTGTTATGGGATCAGGGGTACAAGTAGCATTACGTTCGAGTGGAATGGTGAACAGCATCCTCGTCTGTCCCGTCATCGCCTTGCGAAGGTGCATGACATGCTCAGGCTTGCATCCTACGGAGGCACGTTGCAGTCTGACATCGTCACTGGTTTGTGGATTTGTGTTGATTGCAGTACAGATGTCCTCGCTAAATTCGTGCATCTCCGCGAAGTGTGCGAAAAGCCTTCGACAAGAAATGAACCCCAGCCACCAACTCGTCCTGTACACCACTGAGCTTCAAAGTGTTGTTAGCTGTGGCTTGAGAAAACTATTTGCAGGGTAGTTGCTTTCCGGCATGATTCTTCCCATGCTAGTTGTGACTCCAGGAGAACCAGTCACGGGCGTGAACAGCTTCCTCTTTCAGTTCGAGAACATCTCGGACAGTGCTTGACTATTCATCTCAGTCTCAGTTCCTAAAGATGTTGCACATTCGGCAGGGAGGAATGAAGGCCCAGAGCTAGCCTATTGTCGCTCGGTCCTGGTGCAGGAACAGATGCGAACTTTCGTGCCTTCTGCGGACTATCTCTTCAAAGTTGCAATGGCTCTTCAGCTGACAAGTCCATTCGGTCTCTTAGACACGAAGATGCATGCTGCACTCAGGGCTTGGTGTCACTGTTTTGGATCATGGCCCCTTAGCTGCAGGCCAAGTGAACCGCCGTTTGCAGTGTTCGCGAAGTGTGTCCCGATTTGCCAGCTTTTGGAGAGTGGGAATCCTTCGAAGATTCTTAGTGCTCGCCCTTTCGCAGTTAACATGGCGATGTCTTCCCAGGTTTGGGTATGGTCCATCATGGCCGCCACGGAACTATTCCGGAAAGTCTCCCTGAGCGGCACGATGCAGCCCTTCGCCCTGGACACTCCGCACGGATCTGAGTAGAGCCGGTGAGCGCTTAAAGGACCCGCTTGCCGACTTTTCTGCCCAGCGCCCCCAGGTGGCGCACGGTGACTTCTTTTGGCTGCACACTAGAAGGAGCAAAGAGAAAGCACTTGACTTAGATTCGCAACAGCTCACTGGAAGCAGGAGAGCACTACGTCGTGACAGATTCCGTCGTCGTTCAGATCCTGTCAGAGGCAGGGCGAGCACCATGAAAACTCTTCCAGGAACATGTGCTTTGTGCCAGGAGGGAAACGTCTGGCTCCAGTTCGGTGCTTGTGATGGTGCCCCGATCCTTGCCGTGGATTTTGGCCAGCAGGGCGAAGTGGTCGCCACCTGCGAGCTGCTTGGACCACTCGGTGAGAGCGACTAAAGGGCCAACGTCTGAGAAGCATCCACTCCAACCCCTCCTCATCTCCGATCGCCCCCAAGGAGAGGCATCCAAGCTACCTGGCTGTCCGGTGCGAAGGCCGTGTGTGACATTCCTCCTTTTTCGGACGTGCACGGCACGAAGCTCGAGCACTCAGCTCGGAGTCATTGCTTTGATTTTGGCGAGTTAATATGAGTGAATTGCAGAGTGTGGAATGCTTCAGGGCCGAAGCAGAACATCCATACCCCTGAGGCATCTGTTTCTTCGTAGAACTGTACATATGTACATACGCATTACATGCCTGCCTTCCTGCCAGTAAATGCCTCTCTCTCTCTTTCTGTCCCTTTGTCATCCTCTGTCTATCTGAGTCTATCCCTGTCTGCTGTCTTCGTCTCTCTGTTTGTGTCCGTCTGTCTGTCTCCGTCTGTCTGTCTGTTTCCGTACGTCTGGGGTCTGTCTGTCTATATCTGTCCATCTGTCTGTATGTCTGTGTCTGCCTGTCTGCCTGTGTGCCTGTCTGGCTGTGTCTGTCTGTCTCTCTGTCTGTCTGGCTGGCTGGCTGGCTGGCTGTCTGTCTCTCTGTCTCTCTGTCGGTCTGTCTGTGTTTCCATGTATGTCACATTCATAAAATGCGCACCCATGTCCATAGCCACGTCTGAACCGACTGAGTCTCAGCAGCGCAGGTGCAAGATCAGTTCTGGGTGTCCAACATCTCGAACTTGCAGGATGTTTCGGTGGACCGGTCGCCATTGGAGGCATCCGGGCAGGGTTCCACGGTGGACCTGAGTTAAAGCTCACGGCTCGGATCATATCATCTTGAGTGTAGTCCTGGTCGTGATTCGTCAGTGCATGGGACGTGCATGTACTCAAGCATGGCTTCTAGCACATCGACGATGTAACGAGACAGAGCGCCATTCTGGACGTGGCAAGGGAAGTGGCTCGTGCATGGCACTTGAAGCCAGAAATCTCCGCACGTTCGTGAAAAACTGCGCTTCGCCTGATTTCGCCCGCATGGGGCATGGTTGGGCAGGACACGTTTCACCTGGATGCAATCGCCATCAGCAGGGAACCCCAGATTTTCTGCAGCTACCGGAGCCATGCACCGGCATGCTGGTGTGATCCATCAGTGTGGTGACAAGGCGGCACGCGCCTCGTCGGCTTGCGGTACCACCCAGACTCCACATGGCAGGAAGTTGGCATACTAAATGTGCCGCCACACAAGCCACTCGGCTTCTCCTATGCTTCGGCGGAAATGATTGGCCGTGTTTTTTGTATTCGTTGACAGTGGCAGGGGCCTCTTCACGGCCGTGGCTGTTCGAATGGGACGTGCTGCTTGGCTTGAAGTTCCAGGGGCACGATTCCGTACTGTATCTGATTTGGGAGCCACCGATGGGCCAACTTATGGGCCACGGCTGAGCAGCAGTGGCTTGCAATGCGAGACTTGTCGGCGATGGTTAGTGCGCATTTGCGCAAGACCTACACACTGGGTCATCGGCTTAGGCCCGATCCGCAGCAGTTCAGATGTTAAAGGAAGTAGCAAGCTCATAATGTCATAGTGCCAATACGCGGCAAGGGAGTTCACCATGCACAGCGAAACAAGCCAAAAAGCAAGCATTTTGTATCCCAATCTGCATCACGGAGTATCCACTGCTGTCTACGTTGGCAGCAGAACTGTGGACTCCCTCCAACAGCATGGACCGGCGTCACTAGCGGTCCCTCCCTCCCTCCCTCCCTCCCTCCCTCCCTCCCTCACTCACTCACTCACTCACTCACTCACTCACTATACCTTTTTAGGAAACACGTAATCTAGAAGCTTAAAACCGAAACCATGTAGAACCTTTGCGGAACCCT